CACTAGCCGTCCCGGCTAGGCCCTGCACTAGCCCCTGTGAAAAACCTATCTGTAAAGGACCATGACATGTTTGTTTAGTAATCAGCATATACCCGGCATTGCCCACCCTAACCACGACCAACTAAAACCAAAACACACAAAAAACGCAAACATAACACAAACACAAATACAAACACAAACGAAAACGAAAACACAAATCAAATGCAAACACAACCCCAACCACAAACACAAAGAAAACACAAACGCAAACAAAAAAGCAAACAGATCCAACCATGCTGGGGCGCCGGCGGAACCGCCTGATTCAACTTAGTAAACGACTATAGTACCCCAACTTATTCTTAGTCAAAGCGCTCACTTAAACAAACGTAGGTGCCATAGCGAACACTGGAAGGCCCGGAGCACCAAATAGCACACTATCAGGGCGCCGGAGGACGCCCGGATTCGATTCAGTTAAAAACTATAGTAACCTTTCTTATCCATAATCTATCGCACTGTTTGAAACGAAATTATGCACCATAGCGCTCACAGGATAGCCCAGGGCGCCAAATAGAATTAGATCTTTTACCTAATATGAGAAATTTCGTTTATCTGAAACAGTACTTAAGTTATAGGCTTTTGAAAAACTAAAAGTAAAAAAAATCCCACTTCTGGTTATTGGAAATCGCTGAAAAGTTGATACAGAACTACAAATTTGATATTACTTAAATATGAAATCAACCTAGCTGTAACGGTACACAAGTTATCGTGTTCACAGACATATATCCACTCACACACAGACATACTGACAGAATTGCAAAGTAGTTTTTCCGACTCGATTACGCATAAAACGCCGAAATTTTGATAAATCTGCATTTACAATTCTCGCCCTATTAAAAAAGTCCCCTATAGGCCTACTCCGTATATAATAAAGTACTGAGGTGTAAAACGATGAAAACTGTCAGTAAGCAATTCTACATGTATAAAAACAGAATTGTAAGCCTATTATTTAAGAGTATACTGTACGTATAGTGTATGATATTTTATGATTCTCTACTGTGTATATTCATAGGAATATTGTGAAGTCTAGGCCTTGGTCTGTGTATTGTATCTTTATTTTAAAACTGCAAGGGAAAGGGGAAATACTTGAGATTAATTTCAATGAAGTTCCAAAATTTACCTCAGGTTATACATTGTATTTGGATTTATTTCGTCTTATTTGTACCTGGTTCGTATGAGTTTTGTTTTATCTTACATTTTTTTTAAATTGATACACTGTTCAGAATTGAATTAAGATAAAGACGTCAACATATTATAGACTATTATAAAAGAAGGTAAAAACAATGTCAAGCAAATATTTTGCTAACAACCTTTCCAAAAAACAAATATTACAATTGTTGAGGTTTCTTAAGCTGTGCACCTATCACAACTAACTGGGATAAACTAAATGTAATACAATGCATAAACAACCTAGCACTCGTTGTGTTTTATCTGCAACGAACGAAAACTTTGATGAAATAAACAATCGACATTCATGTAATAAGATAGTCTGTATTTATTTGGCCAATCCAAGAGCTTGGATGAAATAACTCGAAACCCATAACTCGAGACCCATAAAAACTGACTGCTGAAATCAGACGTTTCTGAGACCTCTACAACTGACCAACGGACCGAATGAAGAGAACAAAAAGAGACGGAATGTTTGGCCGATATAGAAATTATTGGAAACTTAATCTTCGCCCGGAACCAATCGAATAATTGATTGATTTAATTGCAGTAGAAGTACGGGATATTTTAGATGGTAATGTGTGCTACCTCTGGTTTTTGAAAGACTGTGTAACTTTATCAACCTGGCTACACCTCTATGTCTCTTGTATGAACGTTATTATTAAATAATTGATTAATATTAGCCGAGACGCAACAGTGTTAAAAAGAAAAACGTTGAAAATAAGCTCAAAATAACGCCAACTTGGAATCAGGCTACAAAAAGGTTGTATTTAGTGCGAAGGCTGTTCTACATAAATGTCGATCTGGAATCTGGCTGTTTGTCATTTTCTGTTATTGTAGTTGTTAGTCTTCTGAAAGCAAAGATACAAAAACCTATTGATAGTATTTAAAAAATGTGTATATAAAATTAATAAAAGCTTTACAAAATTACAATATACATAAGTAGTCTAAACACCAGAATTTCGCGGTATTCAAACTCACAACACCACGAGGTGTAAAATATAGGCCTAAACTAGTCTAAACACCTGAATTTCGCGGTATTCAACATCACAACACAACACCACAAACAATGCTCCAACAAACATTCCCAAAACGCCAAAAATACAAAATAATACCTATAATAAGAAACACAAACAACAATCATAACACTAGCCTTGCTAAAAATATAAACAAAAACATATAATCATCTCTTATTCAAATTCTATATAAACAAAATAATTAGATAATCCGACAAAGCCATCATTCAAACAAATCAAAGGCTATAAGAACACAATAATTAGATAATCACACATAAAGCCATTATTCAAACAAATCAAAGGCTATAGGAACACAATAATTAGATAATCACACACAAAGCCATCATTCAAACGAATCAAAGGCTTTAGGAACAGAATATTTAGATAATCCCACACAAAGCCATCATTCAACCAAATCAAAGGCTATAGGAACAGAATAATTAGATAATCCCACATAAAGCCATCATTCAACCAAATCAAAGGCTATAGGAACAGAATCTTTAGATAATCCCACACAAAGCCATCATTCAAACAAATCAAAGGCTTTAGGAACAGAATAATTAGATAATCCCCCATAAATCCATCATTCAAACTAATCAAAGACTATAGGAACAGAATAATTAGATAATCCCACACAAAGCTATCATTCAACCAAATCAAAGGCTATAGGAACAGAATATTTAGATAATCCAACATAAAGCCATTATTCAACCAAATCAAAGGCTATAGGAACACAATAATTAGATAATCACACACAAAGCCATCATTCAAACAAATCAAAGGCTTTAGGAACAGAATAATTAGATAATCACACATAAAGCCATTATTCAACCAAATCAAAGGCTATAGGAACAGAATAATTAGATAATCCCACACAAAGCCATCATTCAACCAAATCAAAGGCTATAGGAACAGAATATTTAGATAATCCAACATAAAGCCATTATTCAACCAAATCAAAGGCTATAGGAACACAATAATTAGATAATCACACACAAAGCCATCATTCAAACAAATCAAAGGCTTTAGGAACAGAATAATTAGATAATCACACATAAAGCCATTATTCAACCAAATCAAAGGCTATAGGAACAGAATAATTAGATAATCCCACACAAAGCCATCATTCAACCAAATCAAAGGCTATAGGAACATAATATTTAGATAATCCAACATAAAGCCATTATTCAACCAAATCAAAGGCGATAGGAACAGAATAATTAGATAATCCCACACAAAGCCATCATTCAACCAAATCAAAGGCTATAGGAACAGAATATTTAGATAAAATGTACATATTTGAGACTGATTTAAAGTATTGAAGTAAACACGAATCGTCTCTTGAGTTGAAACCAACCCGAACGTAACAACTGGTGGCCAGTATGAAACAAGTACAAGCAAAGACCGGATGCTTTCTTGACGTTTGCCTGATGCTGTCCTGACGTTTGCCTGATGCTGTCTTGACGTTTGCCTGATGCTGTCCTGACGTTTGCCTGATGCTGTCCTGACGTTTGCCGGATGCTGTCGGGATGCCGTTAGCCCGACGCTATTTCTGTTTGACAGAGTATGTAACAACATCGACTGTGGGTTGCAAATTTTTGTGATGTAGAATGTTTGAGATAGGGGCAGGAGTCATAAACCATTGTAGGCAGAGAGCGCAAAGGGTAGACTCAATTTTTTTTTATGTTAAAGGTTTGAGATAGGGGCAGGAGTCATAAACCATTGTAGCCAGAGAGCGCAGGTTGACTCAAAAATTTTTGTGATGTAGAATGGTTGAGATAGGTCTAGGAGTCATAAACCAGTGTAGCCAGAGAGCGCAGGTTGACTCAAAAAATTTTGTGATGTAGAATGGTTGAGATAGGTCTAGGAGTCATAAACCAGTGTAGCCAGAGAGCGCAGGTTGACTCAAATTTTTGTGTGGAAAGTTCTTAGATTTGGTACGATCCACCTGGGTGCGTATGATTTTTTTTACTTACATGAATGTAATGTGCTGGCTCGAAATTGAAGCAGTCTGTATGTTTGGTTAAATTCAAATGATGTATTTTTTTTAAAGAGGCTGATTAGTAGTCTTATATATAATCCATGTCGGTAGCAGTTCTGTATATTTTCATTATGTATTCCATTGTATATACATTCTGTCATATATATTCTTTGGAATGTATATTTTTAACTTGTGTACTAGTGTATGCGAATGAAAGGCTTTGTGGTTTTTTTTTAATTAGCTAGGATTTGTTAGTCAGTATTTGTAGTTATTACTACAAATACTTAGGTGGGGGGTAGTTATTACGGGTCAGTTGTAGGTTAGATTAGAATAGAATAGGATAGAATAATCTAGAATTAGGGGAGAGTGCGTGTGTGAGTTGAGTTTACCCTAGAGTATTGTTAACCCCGGTGTGTTGGTGTATTGTTATCCCAAGGTCGAATGCGGTATAAAAGCTGGAGTGAATGGCAGTCAGCAGAAGTTACTTGATAGCGGGTAGGACGAGGGCTACGCTAAAATGTACATATTTGAGACAATAAAAGTATTGAAGTAAACACGAATCGTCTCTTGAGTTGAAACCAACCCGAACGTAATAGCATGTATGATATACATTATGTGTATATATATGAAATACATCTACATGTATGATGTACACAACTGTGTAAGATACAAAATACACATGTTATTATTGTATTTCAACCCAATGACTATTCATGTTAGAAAATGTATTTTCCTTATAAACATATCAATGTTTGTAACAATTAAGATTTTCAAACTTGTTCAAACTATTTTTTTTTCAGATTAAAAAAACTTTTGACAAGCTCCCAATATATTACACTCAACGTATTGACGAAAATCTAAAGCAAAACTTTGTAAGCTGAGCGTGTAACAAGAAATCAAAAACTGGCTTCAGTAGAAAGAAACAATTGTTATAGCTAAACATTTTACGCTCGAAAGTTTATGATTTTTTTCCATTTCCATGTTGATAACATACGATCTCCACAACAGCGTTGTATGAACAAAAAGTTATAATCATCCGAAGAATTGATCTAATATATGATCCAAATGATTAGATTTTGCTGGAACATTCAAATCAAATAGTTCCGAAATTGAAGTAACTCAAGAATTAAAAATACTAGGTCCAATCTTGATTTCAAAACGCACGTCTCCAGACCTCGACTGAAGAAAAAAAATGTCCTGCTTCGTCAAGTCGGCCAGCTGTCTGCTCTTCCTTTCACTGTACTTGCAGCAGACTTTTTCCTTTGATGTGGAAGGTTTTTGTAGGAACAGATGCCTTCACGGACGTGGGGGTATCCTCTGCAAGTGCAGCGCCATCCACTTTGCTGGAAAACGTTCCCATCCACATCCAGGGGCTAATGGATACAGCACGGACCAGGACTTAGGCTCGGTACAATCGTTAACAAACATCATCAAAAACGCGTACGCCCAGGAGAATCCAGAACCACCAAGAGACATGTATCGACTACACGACATTAGCCAGCATGTGAAGGTTCTACAGCCGACAGACTTGCTGGGCTGGAGTGGAAAATCACACCTAGAAGCTCCCCTAACTGGCAGACGACGAGTAGCAGACTATAAAGACCGGAACTCTCTGACGGGAGGCGAGCAAGTCTTGCCTTTAGCACGAGACGATTTGGGTAGCAGACAGACAGAGGTTGACAGTGAAACAAAGTTGAAGCTTCTACGACTACAACATTTACTGAAGGAAGCACTGGATGGAAGGTGATTTTCTTCTCTGATTTCTATTGCAATCATCACGACCCAACTTGTATCAAACAATTAAAACTACACCATCAGTAGAAAACAACCGGTAAAAGAACAAACGTAGAGCAACACCAGTAGAACAACACCAGTAGAACACCAGTAGAACAACACCAGTAGAACACCAATAGAACAACACCAGTAGAACAACACCAGTAGAACAACACCAGTAGAACAACACCAGTAGAACACCAGTAGAACAACACCAGTAGAACAACACCAGTAGAACAACAGTAGAACAACACCAGTAGAACAACACCAGTAGAACAACACCAGTAGAAAAACACCAGTAGAACAATACCAGTAGAACAACACCAGTAGAACAACACCAGTAGAACAACACCAGTAGAACAACACCAGTAGAACAACACCAGTAGTACACCAGTAGAACAACACCCGTAGAACACCAGTAGAACAACACCAGAAGAACACCAGTAGAACAACACGAGTAGAACAACAGTAGAACAACACCAGTAGAACAACTCCAGTAGAACAACACCAGCAGAACAACACCAGTAGAACAACACCAGTAGAACACCAGAAGAACACCAGTAGAACAACCCCAGTAGAACAACACCAGTAGAACAACAACAGTAGAATACCAGTAGAACAACACCAGTAGAACAACAGTAGAACAACACCATTAGAACAACACCAGTAGAACAACACCAGTAGAAAAACACCAGTAGATCAACACCAGTAAACACCAGTAGAACAACACCAGTAGAACAACACCAGTAGAACAACACCAGTAGAACACCAGTAGAACAACACCAGTAGAACAACACCAGTAGAACACCAGTAGAACAACACCAGTAGAACAACAGTAGAACAACACCAGTAGAACAACACCAGTAGAACAACACCAGTAGAACAACAGTAGAACAACACCAGGAGAACAACACCAGTAGAACAACACCAATAGAACACCAGTTATTAACACCAGTAGAACAACACCAGTAGAAAAACACCAGTAGAACAACACCAGTAGAACACCAGTAGAACAATACCAGTAGAACAACACCAGTAGAACAACACCAGTAGAACAACACCAGTAGAAAAACACCAGTAGAAAACACCAGTAGAACAACACCAGTAGAACAACACCAGTAGAACAATAGTAGAACAACACCAGTAGAACAACACCAGTAGAACAACACCAGTAGAACAACACCAGTAGAACACCAGTAGAATAACACCAGTAGAACAAAACCAGTAGAACAACACCAGTAGAACACCAGTAGAACAACACCAGTAGAACAACACAGTAGAAAAACACCAGTAGATCAACACCAGTAGAACACCAGTAGAACAACACCAGTAGAACAACACCAGTAGACTAACACTAGTAGAACAACACCAGTAGAACAACACCAATAGAACAACACCAGTAGAACAACACCAGTAGAACAACACCAGTAGAACAACACCAGTAGAACACCAGTAGAACACCAGTAGAACAACAGTAGAACAACACCAGTAGAACAACACCAGTAGAACAACACCAGTAGAAAAACACCAGTAGAACAACACCAGTAGAACAACACCAGTAGAACATAACAGTAGAACAACACCAATAGAACAACACCAGTAGAACAACACAAGTAGAACAACACCAGTAGAACAACACCAGTAGAATAACACCAGTAGAAAAACACCAGTAGAACAACACCAGTAGAACACCAGTAGAACAACACAAGTAGAACAACACCAGTAGAACAACACCAGTAGAACAACACCAGTAGAACAACAGTAGAACAACACCAGTAGAACAACACCAGTAGAACAACACCAGTAGAACAACACCAGTAGAACAACACCAGTAGAACACCAGTAGAACAACACAAGTAGAACAACACCAGTAGAACAACACCAGTAGAACAACACCAGTAGAACAACACCAGTAGAGTAACAGTAGAACAACAGTAGAACAACACCAGTAGAACAACACCAGTAGAACAACACCAGTAGAACAACACCAGTAGAACAACACCAGTAGAACAATACCAGTAGAACAACACAAGTAGAACACCAGTAGATCACCAGTAGAACAACACCAGTAGAACAACACCAGTAGAACAACACCAGTAGTACACCAGTAGAACAACACCCGTAGAACACCAGTAGAACAACACCAGTAGAACAACACCAGTAGAACAACACCAGTTGAACACCAATAGAACAACACCAGTAGAACAACACCAGTAGAACAACAACAGTACAATATCACCAGTACAATATCACCTGCACAACACCACCTGTAGAACAACATATTAGAACACCACCTTTATCCACCTCACATCGTAAAGGCCTACCTCCAACCTACACTTGAGGATATTTTCACAAACAATTTTTCCATGTTTATAAAATGGATTTTTGTCCAAACAATTTTTCCATGTTTATAAAATGGATATTTATCCAAACAATTTTTACATGTTTATAAAATGGATTTTTGTCCAAACAATTTTTCCATGTTTATAAAATGATGTAGTTGGTGTCCTGACATCATATACCACATTCAAGTATTATGCGAATTATGACATGTGTACAAAAAAAATAAGTGTCATGATTTATAACATGCAGTTCTAGAATATTATGAAAGTATTAGAATGAAGCATTTTTATTTAAAGAATACACAATTCATAAGCCATTGAAAAATAATTGAATAATGGTTGTAAATATTTTAATAAAATTGAGGTCAAGGGTTAACACCTCACATTTAATACAAAACTTTAGCCACGCCATATTACATACACTACTTTAGTCACGTCATATTACATACAATACTTTAGCCATGTCATTAACATACAATACTTTAGCCACGACATATTACATACAATACTTTAGTCACGACGTATTATATACAACTTTAGCCACGTCATATAACATACAATACTTTAGCCACGTCATTTACATACAATACTTTAGCCACGACATATTACATACAATACTTTAGCCACGACATATTACATACAATACTTTAGTCACGTCATTTACATACAATACTTTAGCCACGTCATTAACATACAATACTTTAGCCGCGTCATATTATATACAATACTTTAGCCACGACATATTACATACAGTACTTTAGCCACGACATATTATATACAATACTTTCGCCACGACATATTATATACAGCTTTAGCCACAGCATATTGCATACAATACTTTAGCCACGTCATTTACATACAATACTTTAGTTACGACATATTATATACAACTTTAGCCACGACATATTACATACAATACTTTAGCCATGACATATTACATACAATACTTTCGCCACGGCATATTACATACAATACTTTAGCCACTACATATTACATACAATACTTTAGCCACGTCATTTACATACAATACTTTAGCCACGACATATTACATACAATACTTTAGCCACCTCATTTACATACAATACTTTAGCCACGACATATTACATACAATATTATAGTTGTCATATTACTTTAGAAATATATTGGAATTTTTATTAGATAATGAATATTAGCCGCTATAACGCTTTCTTTTTGGCTATTTTATAAATGGTTAAAGAAATTGATTTCTCTACTCAATAAAGACCGAGCTCATAAACATTAGAATGAAACCGATGTTAAAATAAACTGATCTTTGGGGTCGGGAAGGGGGTTGTACACACAAAAATTACTTCATTTTAGGGGTTGGGTTGGGGGGGTCTAACGTTGATGACGTTTTTGTGGTTGCAATGGGGAGCAGTGTTTCATTCAAACTTTTTTCCGGGGGAAGGGGACACTATTTTTTTGGGGTGGGGGGGGAGAGACTAAATTTTCCGGGGGCGGACACTGGTAAAAGAAACCCCGATGGGGAGTTCAGAGTGTGACGTCTTTTAAGTGTGACCTATATTTCGTGCTCTTGGGCAGTTTTTTTTTTTTTTTTTTAAAGCCGCGTTTTCTATTGTACAGTGACTAACCCAAGCTGTTGCGTAGAAAATCAAATTACAAGGGCGGAAGGAGGCAACCGTTTACACTATTGTTGTAACTTTCTGACATTCTTTAAACAAACTAATCGGAACTGCTTCAGATAGAGAAATATCGGGGCCATGATGCAGCTTCAAATAGAGAAATATTGGGCCCATAAAGCTACTTTAAATAGAGAAATATTGGGCCCATAAAGCTACTTTAAATAGAGAAATATTGTTCCCATAAAGCTACTTTAAATAGAGAAATATTGGGCCCATAAAGCTACTTTAAATAGAGAAATATTGGGCCCATAAAGCTACTTTAAATAGAGAAATATTGGGCCCATGAAGCTACTTTAAATAGAGAAATATTGGGCCCATAAAGCTACTTTAAATAGAGAAATATTGGGCCCATAAAGCTACTTAAATAGAGAAATATTGGGCCCATAAAGCAACTTTAAATAGAGGAATATTGGGCCCATAAAGCTGCTTTAAATAGAGAAATATTGGGCCCATAAAGCTGCTTTAAATAGAGAAATATTGGGCCCATGAAGCTACTTTAAATAGAGAAATATTGGGCCCATAAAGCTACTTTAAATAGAGAAATAGAGCGACCATAACACTCCTTGAAAATCGGGACATTACACTGAAACAGTTGAACAGAGGGTGGAAGGGAGAGTGACAAAAACATTTTCTTCGTGTCCCTGCTCTCAAAACTAATCTAAATATATACCAGAGAAGTCTAGGAAGAAATTTTGAAATTTAAGTGTGCTGGTTTTTGAGAGAAATTACCCTTTTAAAAATTCTCTAGGCTTATGTAGCCTACATTATCAATAACATCAATTATACCGTCCCGCCCTAAAGGTCAACATAATATAATTTAAAAGGCAATGCTAATCACCAATCATCAAATACACATACAATAATGTTATCATCATTTTGCTTGTAGTTACTACAAAATTTTGTCTATTGATTCGATATTTTTGCAGCTAGATTCCGCTGTAATCCAGCATTACATTGACTGACTCCA